ATAAAAAAATATATCTAGACACATTTTCTAATAGAGAGATATATATATATATATATATATATATATATATATGAAAATAACATTTCAATTAAAACACTATATAAGACCTAATTACTTAACTTATTAAGATGAAGAAAAGTAATTAATGTAGTTAATTAATAATAATAAATCTATCTTATTTATATTTTTTTTATTCTAAAATTATCCTTATACTATTAACAATTCATATCTTCTAACTAATTAGAGTATATGTTCTTTAAATAATTTATTATTAGGAGTATTTTGTCTAAAAATAATTAATATATACAAGATAATATACATTGAGTTTTACACAAAGAAAAACAATTACTTTAAGTTTAACCTTATAAATAGAACATATATAATATTTATGAGAAAACTTTTTTTATAAAAATAAAATAAATAAACGTAATTACGCGTACATATTTATTATTTTGATATAACGAAATAATTTTTTTAAAAATAGATATATTGAAATATCCTCTTTATCCCTTTCACGTAGATATTTGATATTTTCATACTGTTTTCCTAAAAGTAGTAAAACTAAATTGCGTGTTGCATCCTTATTGATATGTATGCGATTCAACGCACAATGCAAAAGGACTGAAATGGTTAATATCTCTATATATGTTGCTTTCCTCCTTAAAATAACCAAGTTTTTAGCTACCATTAATTAATAGAATATTAATTTATTGGTTATACAAAATCCAAATATTAGAATCTGTTTAGCTTTTCAAAATTTCTTCAAAAATTATTTTGACCGAAAGAATATTTTTATTGGTGATTTGCAAATATTCCAGTGTACCTAATTGAATAATAAAAATTAATAACATAATCTGATATAAAAACTCTATGACAGGACATATGTCACAAATATTATCCTTGTGACACCCTTACTACCCCAACATGTATATTGTAATAAATCTTTTCAGTTACAGTAAAAGGGTTCACATAAAAAACTTCAACAACTACACTAATTGAAATATCAAACATAAAACACAAGATTCTTTACAAATATTTATGAGATATGCAGCAGTCGTAGCAGCTTCACCCCAGAATTTCTTTGACAATCCTGAACCAAGAAGCATGCATCTAACCCTTTCCAAGATAGTTCTATTCATCCTCTCAGCAAGCCCATTTTGTTGAGGTGTATGAGGGACTGTTCTATGTCTTTTAATCCCCTGGTTCCTGCAAAACTCAGCAAACTGCTCTGAAAGAAACTCCAGGCCATTGTCAGTCCTTAATACTTTTAACTTGGTTTCAAGTTGGTTTTGGATCAGAGTATACCAATCCCTGAATTTTTTATATGTTTCAGTTTTATCTTTTAGTACATACAACCACACTCTTCTAGTAAAGTCATCAATGATAGTGAGAAAATAAGAACCTCCACCTAGAGTTTTAACTCTAGAAGGTCCCCACAAATCAGCATGAACATACTCAAAAGGCCTGCTAGAAACATGTATACCAGTTCCAAACTTTACCCTGTGAGACTTACCTAACACACAATGTTCACAGAATTCTAACTTATCAAGCTTATCACCCTTGAGCAAATTCTGTTTTTCTAGTTCAATTAGGCCTCTCTCACTTACATGTCCTAGCCTTAAATGCCATAGTTTTGTTTTATCAATATCATTTCTAGCTATAGATGCATGAGCCATAACAGTAGATCCATCTAAGACAAACAAGCCATTATTCTTATCTTTGTTACCTTTAGCAATCACAAGAGATCCATTCAAAATTTTAAGTACACCATGTTGAGTTTTAGTAGCATAACCTAAACTATCAAACATGCTTATAGATATAAGATTTCTCTTGAGATCAGGCACATACCTCACATCTTTAAGGATGTATTCTCTGTTGTCAAACATTTTAAGCCTGACTGTGCCAATTCCTTGCACCTGACATGGATGATCATCTCCAAGCAACACTGTCCCTCCTTCCTTAAGCTTCAAGGTTTCAAAATAGTCTTTCTTGGGACACATGTGATAAGAACACCCTGAGTCCATAACCCAGTCTTTTTGTGTCTGTGAAGTTGTGACTACAAGAACATCAGCACTCTCATAGCCATCAGATATTGCAGCTATGTCAGCAGAATCAGCTGATGATTTTTGGTCCCTATTCCTCTCAGGACAGTTCTTCTTGAAATGACCAACCTTGTGACAGTAGAAGCACTTGAATTTTGACCTGTCACCAATTTTAGATTTTGATCTAGCTTTCTTTCCTTTCTGACTTTGTCCCTTTTTCTCACTTCTGCCTCTTGACACATTCAAACTCTCCCCATTATCATCTGTCTTGTTATCTTGTTGTCTTTGCAACTCTTTTGTCCTAATTGAAGTTTGCACTTCATCCAGAGTAATGTCCTGTTCTTTGCCATAAAGAATGGCATCCTTGAAGTGTTCATAATTCCTTGGTAGTGAGTTCAAAAGGAGCAGAGCCTTGTCTTCATCTTCCAGCTGTACTTCTATATTTTCCAAATCATCCAAGATCTTGTTGAACTCAGCTAATTGATCCACAATTGATTTTGTTTCTGTCATCTTGAATGAGTACAATCTTTGTTTCAAACATAATCTGTGTGCTAATGACTTTGTCATGTACAAAGACTCCAGCTTGAGCCACATAGCTGCAGCAGTTTTCTCTCTAGCAACCTCCCTGAGAGCCTTGTCACCTAGACATAGAATTATAGCACTCCTAGCCTTCTCAATCATATAAAAAATTACATGTTAAACTGTATATTAATACAAATTAAAAATATAAATAATATGTACATATATAATATGTTTGTAATTGATATCACAAAATAATATATGTAATATCTACATAGATATTATATTATTAAATATATAATTTAAAATTAATAATATACTATAAAAGTTATTTAAGTTGTATATATTATAAATAAATACATTAGAACAAGTAGTCATTGTTATATTTAATAAGACTCTTTGTTCTTCCATTAAGAGATTCAATTTTCATTATTATTTTTGTGGTTTATGGTCCCTTAAAATTTTTTAAAAAAAATAAGAAAAAAAAGTAGTTGAACCGGTTTGACCCACCGGTTCACCGGTTGAACCGGAAAATTGACCGGTTCAATCCAGTTTAAAACGGGTTGACTGCATAACCGATCCAACTTAAAATTCGGACCGGCTGAACCACCGGTTCCTGATCTAACTGATTCGACGGGCCAGTTCGATCCCAGTTTTAAACAACTGGATAAACTTGTAAAAAATGATTTTGGTATTTTATTTAATAATTCAGGATGAGTAACTTTAATTTGAGAATATTTCTCAGTTGATATACAACAAAAAAATTTATGTCTAAATATTATTATTTCTAAAAATCATAAATTTTAGGAATTATGAAAATATATTAGATTGATCATAAATGTTACTCAAGAATCAAGAATTGTTATTATATTAAATAAATAAATAAAGGTAATATGATATTTTATCTCATTTAAATTTTATTTTTTACTTAAAAAAGTTAATTTTTCACTTTCCTGTGAGAATATTCTTTAATTAGGAAACTTGAGAAAAAAGCTATAGTAAAAAAATAATGTTTCTTAATAATAAATCAAATGTGAGAAATTAACATTTTTTTACATTAAGTAAATTTGATAGATTTTGAAACGGATAATTTTTAAATTAATAATAATTAATTTTTTATTTAATTTTTGTCATGTTATAATTTTGCACTTGTGTCAACTGTCAAGTATTTGATTAGAAATATTATGAACATTTGAAACGAGTAAACAAACAAAATAAAAATTAGACTTCTGATCTCTTGTTGGATTAAACTAGTATTACAAAAACATTTTTTTTCGTTTCATAGATCTTAAAAATAGTATTTCCACACTTTTATTAAATAACTAATATGGTATAATTAATAAATATAAAACAAGTAATTTAATTAATAACAAAAGAAACTATACCAAAATACTTCAATTTATGAGGGTACCATAATGACACACTTTTTAAAGGGTAAATTTTTTTTCATGAACCATGGATGGAGCTTCAAGTTCAGGTGAAGCTGCTGGAAATCAGGATATATCAAGTTATCAATTGGTTAGAGATAGAGCAAGGAGAGTTCCTAAACCTTCTAGCAGATATGGTTATGCTGACCTTATTTGCTATGCTCTTAATACTGCAAATGAAGTGCAAGGATTTGAACCAAAGACTTATAAGGAGGCTATGGAAAGCAGTGAAGCACA